AAGTACCGGAAATTTGGTCAGACTCAGCTTTGCGCTATTACGGATTTGGAGTACATAAGAATTGTGTTACGGCGAACTTTTCAAAGTATACCTAACTAAAGTACCATATTTACGTTAAAGGTGCATGATTTGAGGAATAAAATATCGGCCTCACTAAGCCTGAAAATCCGGATAACCAACTGAAATTCTTATACTGTTTATTTATTTCTACCGCAGTTCTTTTGCAAGTTTAGGCATGGTTCAACTCTGTTTTTTGTTTACCGTTCTAGTTTCGCCTTTCTGGAGACAAATCTATGAGGACCGTACACTGAAAAACTAGATATACTTGCATTTTGGACACAGTAGAACCTAAAATATGAAACGTTAACAGGCTGTATGTAGAAATACAAAACACAGGATGTGTGGAGTGATAAGTCCTTCTGTCCAGGGGTAAATAACGCTGATTTAGTTAATTTTCCTCTAGCCCACAGCTTGATTACTAGTCACACACGACCTAAGGTTTTTTTGGAACGATCATAACGTTCAATTTGAGTTCAATTAGAACATAATGTTGGCTGAAACTCGGGGACCAGTCTACAATCTACCTATCTGCGTCTACCTTTTTGTAAGGAAATATTTGTGCATCTCTATATTTTACTTTGCAGGTCCTTGTTTTTTCTAGTTCCAATCCACTTTGCAGCCGTAAGCATTCTGATGACACGACCGATCTTGACAAGTTAACGCAGGATAACGAAACAGACCGATTTTCACCTTGTAATTATGTTATATTTAAGACCAGTAGATTCCCCTTTCGATGCTTGCCTGTTCGGGGGGAAGGGATAACCAGCTATCACTTTACTGGTGAAAAGAGAAACGCCCTTCACTATGAAGTTATTTATTAGCAAACTCGAACCAAGTGCTTACAAGACATTAGACACGGATGTGAGCATTTCATCTCCACAGAGTTTTTGAACGGTGAACATCTACGAGTGTTCTCTCAAACTTCCCTGGACCTTCTTCAAATATTAAGTGATAATGATGGTGGTTCTATAATTTCTGTGACCTTCACGTTCCATCAGATTCTGGAGCGGAGTTTGGCCGCATGGCCAAACTCTACTAGCGTGCTTAATGAGTAGCACACATCATCACAACATTCGAAAGCCGTCAGAGTAACTGGTCAGAATTTGTCCGTCACAGTTAGCCACACTTACCGACAAAAGTCATCTGCCCGCATCTTTCTACGTTGGGTTTCGTTCACGCGATTACCTTCTTGGCGCTACCTGACTGGAACTTACTGACAGGCAGGCCGTTCGATCGATCGAAACAGAACGGTTACTGAGTCTCCCTTCGGGGCCTCGCTCAGCATCGCTCAGCGTCGCTCAGCAATGAAGATCGCTCAGGCATCGCTCAGTTTTCTGCTCAGTTGTGACAGTTCAACAGCGCCCCATGTGCACTGATGGCGCTTCGGAGTTTGCTGGTACGCCATCGCGATTCCCAATTCCCGTTGACCGAATGGTGAATTCCTATCATAACCGGATCACCAAAATGGAACTGAATGTTGGATGGATGGGACCGACGGTAACGAGTGTATCCGTGGAGCCCACATGGCAATGGTCACCGCAAAAAGAGCAGGACAGATCGGATCCAAAAGTCAGCTGGACGACGTTTAATCAGGAAAGTGGCCAACGATCAAGACAAATGACCAGTCATATGTGCAGTGATTATCGGGGCTCACTCCAGGTCAACATGAGTGGAACATTTCCCAAAGTTCACATAATGAATGACTAGGAAACTGAAGGCGATTCTATCTTGAGAGCTATTCATAACAAGTGGCTCACCTGAGAGAATATAGAATAACAGGTATCTTTCCTACACAGCTGTCCACCGTACTGCTCACGGCGGCTCTTATCTGTTGTAGGTCAAATTTCCTAAACCTAAGGAACGTATTCAGGCCGGGGTAGAATTGATCCGAAGGCTGAAGGCTGGAGAAACCCTGATTGCTTCACTTTGGAGCAGGCAAATTCCAGTCCTTAAAGATAATCCGATGTCCAGACAGATTATTTTCATTACCTCATTGCTGCTTTCATAACATCATTTCCGTCATATGTCAACCACTCGACAGTTTCAAGGAGCAAACATTATAACCGTCCAGTTTATAGAAAAGCCAGCGATTTCGAAAAGGTGAAGATTAGCCAGCTGGCATGAACTAAAGCTGAAAACCATTGCAGGCCATGAGTGACCTTGGGTGGTTAGGTAAATGGCCGGGGTCACAACGAGGATGAGAAACGAACTGTCAGGCTGTTGTAACTTAGCAGACGATCATGCAACTCTGTATCGGTCCCTTGGCTTCCTGCTCCTCCCACTATGGTATATCAAAAGGCACGGTAGCTCTACACAGCTCTTTATGGAGACAAAGGAAAATCATTAAAACTGTATTTATAGGGTAGTCACAGAGTGTTCCACAAGGTCGTGCCAGAAACTCCGTGAAGGGGCGAGAAGCGTCGAGTGAAAGGTGCTTGACTCGGATTGGCTGGCATTCTGACCAATCAGGGCATGCCTTCGTTTGGCCCAAGTCCTGCACGTGACACATCCGTCCAAATGATGTGGTGTTCGGTTATTAGGGACGGCTGGCCTCCGAACACAGGCATGGCGTGATCGGAATCAAGCTGTGCCCCAAAAGGAACAGCATTCTTGAATTCTGGCCGTCCACCGGTTGCTGATGGTCACATGATCCAACTGGGTCCACGGTTGACTTTCAGTTGCTGGCTGCCAGGTTACGCGATACGGATAATTAGCTTGAAAGCCGAAATCTATGGAAAAAGAGCTTGGGTGACCTGAAGCTGGAAGGTGATCAATGAGTTCTGCCTTCAACCAAGTAATGAGACATTCGGTCTTCATTTAACTACTCATGTTTCAACAACTAACTTCATTTGCACAAGAATGTGGTTTAGACAGGAGACTCAACTGAATCCGAGTAAATTTCTCGTTTATGATAAATCACTTTAACCGAATGTACTGCTTTCTGTTTTGTTCCATATTATCAGGAAGGTCAGATTCCTGAAAGTAACCCCAGAATGCCCAGAGCCTTCTGAAACCCTAAAATTCCAACAAAATCTCAATAGGGAAGCCGGCAAGCATGCAGGCCAATCAACCATTCAATCAATTCAGCAAAAGCTGATGAGTGTTCATGCACGCCACAGAAGCACGATCGAGTGTGATCAGCTTTCAGGCATTTCATAGAGGCACAACTGATGTTGATGGGTGTTCACTAACGCCTATCAGACAGCCTGGCTCAATGTCAGAAAGTCCCCTTTAAATAGCGCGGGGCAGTTGTAACTTTTGCACTCGAACGCACTCGCTTGTTTGGAGTAAAGCTGTTGTGCTCCTTTCTGGTGACTTCTTTTCAAGCACCAGACACTGGAGTGGGAACAGCAGTCAGATAGATATAACACATATTCAGTTGTCCGACTGTGTCACCGTCATCTTCAAAATTATTAGTTGTCATTTTCTTTCGATCGCGGAGGATTCGGTCAAAATAATGGGAACCCGACGTAGTCCTTGATCATCTGATCCATTTCTATTGATTTATTGATCCTACAAGAAAGTTTCAAAGTTTCGTCTCAGCATTGGCAATGTGTGGAAGCATCCAGATAGCTTAGAGCAGAAGATTCTGCACTCAACGAAGCATTTTTCCTCTTGATATACCTATCAAAACACGTTTTCTTTAAATTGCTTTCTCATAAATGCATGCACACCTTGTATTTTACCAGAGAATATCCGCGTCACGTTCGTATGTCTCACAGAGCGATGGATGATATTGGTTAGTTGTACTTCTATAGCCGTATGAATAGCAAAACTAAGTAAAGGTTGGGACCACTGAACATCTACCTTGTCCTCGGAACTATCGTATTCTTTTCTTCTACTCTTGTTGTGAACAACGTCATTTATCGTTCTGCTGTTTCCTTTTTTCGCCTATAGTGCCATTCTATTTCGACCTGAACGTCTTGTTTAAATCAATCACATGAGATTCGCCATCTTGTGATCGCCTTGCCTTTAGTTGGTGTAGATTTTGGGATTGCGTTTGGAATTAGAAGTTCCTAAACTGGGCTGGCACAATCCCACGAATTGGGGTCTGTACAATTCCATTATTCTATTACTGTATTCATACTACCTCATTTGTTGACAAACTTTCATGTGAAAGATTTGACTTTTGGGGTTTTGCACGGAACTCAGCGTGGCGCAACTGATTGGTAGGCGGATAAACACTAAAGTGATTGGCCACAACTGTCATTCATGACGTAAATCCAGAATTCATTTTTGTCCTCCTGACCCAATTTTTATTGTCTTGCACTGATGGAATAGTGGCAACATGCTACCACTTCAAGCCACATTTCCGGGTTTTCAGTCCTGGTGTAACCACAGTTATTCATTGTTCAGAGGTTCTAACAATATCGAAACTCGAGTGAACTCACGAGGGGAAAGCCATCCGAACCAGAGCAATGTAGCCGTGAATGTTACAGGTACCGCAAACGAGCAAACAACTAATCGAAAAACCCCAAATTGGTCACGCTCTGTAAGTACCTGTCCGTTTTCATAAGAGACTACTCACAAGGTTGCTGAAAACTCTTCCACAGCCCATGACCGATTTCGCACTTCCACTTCGGGCTCATCAGGTAGGAATAGTCGCCGAGTTTCCGTCAACATTAGCTTATCTTTGAACCCAAATCGGACTGTTTTCGAGAAATACACTCATTTGCAAATCAATTTGGTTTTAACGGGAACGAATTTGCCCATGAGTGTATTTCTCGAAAACAGTCCAATTTGTGTTCAATGAGAACATCAGGTTGACGGAAACTCGGGGACTGCGCCTACCTGATGAGTCCAAACTGGAAGGGCGAAACCGGTCGTGGGCTGTCGAAGAGTTTCCAGCAACGTTGTGAGGAGTTCCTTTTATGAAAATATACTGCGATATCTCGAATATCGTGCAGACTTATACGTGAGGTGGCCTGTGTGCAGCACATTCAGTTGTAGAATATCATAAACGAGAGATTCAGTTGAGTCCCTCGTGAAAACCAAATTGATTCGCAAATGAATGTATTTCTCGAAAACACCTGTCCGTTTCTTTCGTCAACCTGTGGGCAGGTGCACACCAACAAAGGTTGTAGGATCAGGCATTACTTTGTCAGGAGAAAAAACTTGCCATTATTTTGGGATAATTCGAGGAAGAATGATGCATGATATGGTCATTTTTCAAAATTGACCAGTTTCCCCAGGTAATCAGGGAGATTTAATTATAGGTAGTCACGACAGTGACGGGGATTCGCGGTTAGATCTCTTACTCTTTGATGTACATTAAACCCAATGTTTCCTCTCGTTGCACAATATGTCTGTTTTTTTATTAGCGCACAGTGGGGCTGGGCTTTGACAAATAACTCGCAATAAAAAAATTTCAAAATTGGTGTCGCAACCCCAGCCCATTTTCATGTTCCGATGAGTGCTAACCAACTTGATTGAATTTTTAAGTTTTTACCGTTTCACTGACATTCTTTAAAATTATAGGGTCCTTTCATTCTATAATGTCTGGAATTTTAGCCTTGCCTTGTCATAAATTTAGCAAAATCAGTCCAAAGTTGTTCAGCAGTGACCATGAGTTGGATAAATTTTACTCTGTTCACAAGTAAGAACACGTGTTGCTCAGGCGTCTGACTCATATACCACATAAACGTTAACCATATTCGTACGACCACAGATCGCCTGGAGACTAATGTGCACAGAGAGTGCACGTCCATGCTGTCTGAATGAACAAGACCATAAAAACTGATGACTTGATCTGTACTCCCTCCGAACAAGTGCCTCATTTCGTCATCTATTCAAAATGAACAGCGGTGTGGGCAAAACTGCAAAATATATGGGAAATACACTCATTCTTCTTCAAGCCCTTCAGGTAGACGCAGTCCCCGAGTTTCTTTCAACCTTATATTCTACGTGAAAACAAACTGCAAGAAATAAGCGAAATACACTCACTTGCAAATCAATTTGGTTTTATGAGAAACTCACTTGAAATCTAGTTGAATTTCCCGTACGTGATGATTTCAGGCGTGGGTTGTCGAAGAATTTTCGGCAACACTATGAGTAGTGCATCACGTTTATCTATCTATCTATCTATCTATCTATCTAACTACCTATCTATCT